TGTTCATGATAAACTTAAAATTTAGAATTTTATCTCTACTTGCATATAGATTTTCTTTTTGAATCTACTCTAAACGAATCTTGACCATTATAACTTGGACTAATTAACACGGTACTAACTTTATCTAGTGTTTCAATTGTTTGCTTGCATTATCCTTTTTCCCATGATTGTATTTGATTTCTTTCATTTAATCATAATTTCAATTCTTATGAACTATATTTTTAGAATATTTTTTGATATTTTGCTTCTTGATCCATGTGAAAATTGAAATAATAATTTATTTATCACCTTTGTTCCAAAGTTTAGTTATTATTCATTGACTCTTTATTTGTATCTTTTTCTTTCGAGTTCATGTAGAAATTAAAATATTATAGTATCACTTTTATTCCAAAATTAGCTATTTATTAGTTGTGTTTATTATAGACTCTTTGATTAGCACTAACCCATGTGTTTATTTTTGTTCCAAATTTTGAAACAAATTAAGTTGTTCTCTTTAGTTCTTAATTTATTAGATATTTTGTTTTCTATTCCAATGGAAATCTAAACAATATTGTTCATTATTTTTTTCTATATGTTAGCTATTTGTTAGTTGTGTTAGACATAGACTTTAGTTTATGCATCTTGCTTCTCATTTCCTATAGAAATCAAATTACTAGTTTCTTCATTCTTTAATTTTGAATTTGGCTATATAAATGGTATTTGTTATTCTTTGTTTAAATATAAAGCGTTAGATGATTCTTAGAATCAATGGCATATATTATTTTCTATTTTTAGATTAATGTCGTAATTTTCCCGTCTTAGTGAATGTGGCAGCTTCTTTTAACACTATTGTAGTAAGACAACAGATAAATAGATGTGTATATGCAAAAATGCATGGTATAGTGGTATTAGCACTAAATTTGGTCCGTAGACTATATATAAAAATACAAAGAGAAAAAAGAAAACAAAATACGGAATATAATAGAAATTTTCCTATAGAATATAGATGGATTTTTCTGTTTTTAACCAATAAATATTTTGTTGGTGTTAGTTGTTACTTAGTGATATGTGCAATGCACACGAGCCACTAACAGGATACGCCTGATATACATGAAAATTGTGACATATCCAATTCAATTCAAGTTACATATAAGCCCGTGTATCTTGCCTAAGAAAAAGAAAAAATACTGGAATTCTAGATTTTTCAAATATCTCTCATTAAAATATTCCAAAATTAAGAATGGGTTTAGTTACTTAAATTCAAAAGTCAATCAAAGAATTTTGGTATCTAGTTATTAGTTAAAAAATATTTATTAAAATACAAAAAAGATTGAATAATTTTACTTTCTAATCATTTTTCTATTTCTTTCTGTTAAAATAAAAGAGTGATATGTATGTTCCATAAGAAAAGAAATAGCAATTTTTAGTTTAAATTTGTAGTTCAATTTTTCTATAAAATAAATTTTTTTCCGATCGCTAAACCTATTCTTATCTCTTTCTAAAGGAATTAAAAAACAATTTCATTTATTGATACCTTGATTTTTTTTTCTAATTTATTTTCTTCATTTCACCTTCCAAGTAGTAAGCATTCAAAGTAAAAAAACATTATTTGTCTACTCAGCCTTTCTAAATTATAAGCGGTTTTGACTTTCGAGACATATGGTTCTTATTATGTATCTAGACTTAGTGTATATTTAGGTGCATAGCAAAAGTATATATCTAGAAAATCCAAAACAACCTATAACATGGGACGGAGAGTATATGTTAATTTTATACTATGTAGTGTATTCCTATATCAGCTCAAAATGTCTTATATTTTCTCTAAATCGTATAAGGAGACGTTGTGTGGTACCGATCTCTATCTCCTGTGGTTTAGATTGAAGGGACTGAGGATAAGTTTACTTCGATACTAGAATTGTATAGATTGCTCTCACCCTAGTCTTTCAAAACCATAGCTAATGGTAGAATTATTAAGCCCTCATTTGTTAAACCAAGTTCCTCTAGTGTTTGTATTTTAGAAATTAAAATTGGCTACTCCCCAGCCATCATCTAGAATTCTAGATCCTTACACCCGGTTCTATTTGCAGTGTTTGACCATGTTGTGGACTCACCTCCTCCCCGTTCGTCGATCGTTGCTTCCATATTGTTCGCCTTTCTTCTTATATCATGTCACGTTCTTTACCAAGGCGCATGTGGTGACTTCGTCGATCAATCTCGAGATTTGCCGGTCTAACTCGGTTCTTTGGAGGTGCTCATAGGAGTATGGTGTGTGTGTGTGTGTGCGTCATAGGGATGAGTATGTGCTCGTGTATGTGAGCTTCTGATGGAGGAGGCAAGCTTACTATCAAGATAGCTAGCTATCGAGTCAATCTCTCTCCTCAACATGGAAAGCAGCAATCGGACTAGGAAAAACACATGACTTTTTTTATCTTTCTAATCATACTGTACATATACAGAGAACATAAGTTAGAGTTGTATTTGAATTATTCTACTCCGTTGTGTATTTTTATAGGCTTAATATACACCGTTAAATGATCATGGAATATAAAATTTAAGGGCATAGACTTTTTTGTCTTTCGATTAATCTAGTAATTTCTAGATCTTTTGACGAACATGAGGTTTTCGTTTAACATTGTTGTATTGTATAGATATAGTAGATTATAGATAATAATATATTGTAAGATCTCGACTTAGTTTTTTTTCCACGCGAAGAACCTTCAGCTCGACTCAGTTTTTATCTTAACCAACTATACATGTTGAACGAAACAGGGGATGAGTCAATGGCCTACTAAGTACGACTGTAGGGCATTATTGTTCCACGCTTGCACACAGTCCAATTTCAGCATATGTAACTTAGGCTGTGTTTAGTTCACGAAATATGAGAATTTGGCTACTGTAGTACTTTCGTTTTTATTTGGTAATTAATGTTCAATTATGGACTCATTAGGCTCAAAATGTTCGTCTCACGATTTTCAACCAAACTGTGCAATTAGTTTTTTTCGTCTACATTTAATGCTCCATACACGTATCGCAAGATTCGATGTGATGGCTACTGTAGCACTTTTTGGAAAACTTTTTGGGAACTAAACAAGCACTTATATCTTCATGACTTCATCATGACCAGTTTCTGTCAGCACATTCACATTTGCATTGGGTATAGTTTATATAGGTTGACCAAGACAAGGGGAGTTGTACTCGGCACAGTCGGCAGGACCTCATCCCTCTATAGGAGAATGTCTTTGTGGGCCCGCCAGATTAAGAAATACTCATGTTCGTCGAAGAAGTGTTGCTGTAACAGGCCACACACACAGGCCAGGCTACCATCTACGTGAAAATGGTAAATTAAGTGAGTGAGAGAATAATTTGATGGCAACTTTTTGGTGCGGGCAGTTGAACTTTGCAAGTGAATGACCAACTAGCTAAAAAAACAATAGGGCAGTATTCATTTCATATACTACACTTGACATGAGAGGTCAGCAGAGGGCAAGCAGCATAATGGTGATGATCGAGGAGGAGGGCCGGGGTACCCTTTGGTTTAGAAAGTACCAAACTATACCAATGGCCTGCACAAAGCCCTTGCAGATGGCTTAACATAAGATAATAGTACCATGTGGACAGACAGCAGGTGCAAAAGCATGGTGTTTGCCATACATACATATTCCTTCTCCCTTCTCCACGACGGCCTGCCCTCCTCCTCCTCGTAGTGCTTTTCATGGCTGGAAGATTCTTAGTTTCGTGATGATGGTGGAGAGATATGGCATCTCAGAACTACAAGAGCGCTAGCTAGCAAAAAAGGAAATGGAGATCGGTCTACATAGACGACGGATATCACGAATAAATAAAATACAGACACAAAATATTGTCTCCGTTCCAAATTATATCTAGTTTTTTTTATTTATCCTGAATCAAATTTCTCTAACTTTAATCAAATCTATTAACGAAAAATGTCATGTGTTAGTTTTCAGTAAATTCTTCATTAAATATGTATTGATAGTGCATTTGTTTAAATATGCATGTATTGAATATCGCCTAGTGCCCTTGGTCCAAGGTGTCTGATGGTAATTCTCATTACCATTAGAAATCTGCTCCTGTAATCCAAATTCTACTTCATCTTAATGAAATACGTGTAAACGTGCATTGTGAAAAAAAAATGCATATATTAATATTGTATTTATTATCTTAATATATTAAAAAAACTTGATTAAAATTAGAGAAAATTGGCTTAGACAAAGTTAAAGGCAACTATAATTTAGAACGGGGGAGTAACAAGGCCTTAAAAAGGGCTGGACGATATACGACATAAATGAGCCAACCACAAAATATGACTGTTACCGGGTACCCTCAAGATAGATCAGCACAGCATTGTATGCTCCCTCACATGATGAACTGATCTAGCATGCACTCGTCACTATACAAAACCAATTAACCAAACTGTAGCACAATGTGATCACTGATGAATGATGCACACTGAAATAAAATAAAAAAACCCAAGAAGAATGAGGTTTAAACAACATAAGCAACATAATACATGTATATGACTAACAAACTTGCGTGTTATCAAGATGTAAAAGCACAGTAAGTCACAAAACTACGTACGTGAAGCGTGATACGTACGGTGTGATTTAACTTATAACACTGTATGTAACAGAGCTGCTCAATTAATACATACTCTACATGCATGCAATGCACAACAATGACACATGATCGACAGCTTGCTCCTTGGATTACACAATCAGAAACAAGCAGAGATCGATTGGCTAGAGAAGCTGTAAATCACCGGTTCACCACCTTAACAATCTGTATATCCTGCTGTGTTAGCCCCGAAGTCGATTGACACACGCGAACACCAAGAACCGAAAAAAAGAAAGAAAGAAAGGCAAACAACCAGAGAGAGATCAAACGCCATATGTGAACACTAATCACCTCCACCCTCTTATTAACTCCGATCCTTGTCTCTATCCTTATCATCTCCACATGCTGACAACGGCGCGTGCATGAGCCATGCATGGCGCGCCGACTGCTTACCAAGGGCCTCCGCCACCATTGCTGCTGCCATTCCCGATCATGCTATTGCTCCAGAACCCTGGAGTCTCGTGGCCACCGGTGACGCCGCTGGCCCCGCTGCCGTCGCCGCCTGCAGCTTGATCTTTGCTGTGCTCGTACTGATGATGATGATCGGCTCCGTTGCTTGCACCGCCGCCAGCTGCGCTCACCGCCGGCTTCAAGTCCTCGAAGGGGAAGAACAACCTGCCATCCGCGCTGTCCTGCAACCCGGCGCTGTAACCCCCGGCGGCGCCGCCAACTCCCCTCGTGCCGTACGTGTCCAGCGAGAACCCGAGCACGCTCTGAGACTGCGGCGGCGGGGGCATGCGGAACTCGCCCAGCGCGAATCCCGCGGCTGCGTACTCGGCGGGCATCCCGAGCTGAACGTGCTGCAGGGGGACGTAGCAGCCGGTGCTCCTCAGCAGCTCCATCGCCGAGAGCGCGCCCATGCCCCTGCCGGCTGCGCCATTGCCCACCATGCCCGCCGCTCCGGGGTTGCACACGCTGCTGCTCTCCAGGCTCGGGAACGCCGGAAACTCCGGTGGCTGCAGAGCGCGGCCGTTGTGGTGAGGGAACGCCAGGTTGAGGTCGTGCGCGCCCTCGTGCATCAGCTTGGGGTTCTTGGCCGGGAGCCCCACGGAGACCGTGCCGGACATCGCCGCGGAGGTGGAGGCGGCCGCCGACGACACGGCCGAGGACGAGCGCTTGTTCTTCCTGGAGCCGCCGCCCACCGGGACGTTGCGGAGCGAGCCGCCCTCGGTCCAGTAGCGGCGGCACGTCTTGCAGAAGTAGCGCGGCTGCTGCAGGCTGTAGTTGTTGTAATAGCAGAACTTGGTGTTGGTGGAGTTGCACCGCGGGCAGTTGAGCGCCTTCTCCTTCTGCGGCCGCGCCCGCCGCTCCGTGCCCGCCCCCGCTGGCCCTCCGGTCGCGCCAGCGCTAGGCGCTGCCGCCGCAGCCGCAGGGGGAGCGCCAGCCCTCTGGGCGCCGGGAGCCGAGGGCGCAGCCGGTGGCGGGTTTGGATTCTGGTTTGGATTTGCGTTTCCAGCCATGAGCATCTCCTCCATGTGCTTCCCTAGCCCTAGCCCCTGGTGATGGACACATATTGCTCATCGTTAGATGTTACTACTGCAAACCTGAATGATGAATGTTAAGGTAAACTAACAACTACTCCTACGAAGCAAGAAGAACATGTAGTATGGGAGAATGAAGAGATGAATAGCACATAAGGCACAGGGGTAGGTCTTTGGATTCTAATGGTGCAAGTGCAGTGCAGTGCAACAAAGAACCAAGCAAATGGATACAAAGTGAGATTAAAGAGAAGGGGGTAAAGGCAAATAAAAAGGTTAAAAAAGCAAGGAAAAGATGAGAGAGAACACAAAGCACCACGTAAAACTCAACTTTGTTTGTGCTCTTGTAGGGTTGCGTTTGTGGAGTAGCACTTGTTACTTACTCCATCACCCAAGACATGGCTGCTCTTTTGATGCAAGGTGTGGGAGAGAGAGGGGGGGGAGAGTAAAGCTACTCCATATGAGAAAAAGGAGGGATAAAAAGGATGAGAGCTTGGAAAGGGGGATAAGATAGAAAGAAAGGCAGGAACAAAGGAAAATAAAGGCGGTCGTGTGCTCCTTTCAAGGGATTAAAAGGAGGAGACAAGGAAGAATTAAAGGCCACAAGGCCCTCAGCTCGAAGCCAATGGAGAAGAGACGGCAGGCACGCACACAGAGAGGAGATGACGATACTCACATAGATCTACACAAAGAATAAAAGGTTCGCCATGGCGGTATCCAAGAACAACAAAGCCTGCCGCTGCCGGAGAGGTCGTAGATAGATCATCATGCCCACATGCTACTCCCTATAAGAAAGCTAGCTCCAGGATCAAGGCAGCAGGCCAGAGACGAAGAACCAATATAGAGCAGTACTAGTAACCAAGAACAAGAAGACACTAGTAGACATCAAGATCCAAGCCGGCAGGTGAGAGATCTCGTGCTCATGGCCCCCGATGCATGCTGCAGGTAGCTAGCGCCTTGTTCGATCGATCGAGATGGCTGTGCAGATTAGCTTACCTGATGCCACTGCGCCGCATCCATGCATGCAAGGATCCCAATTCCGCTCCTCGCCAGCGATTCTCCCGTGTTGCGCTTGCCGACGAGGGGCGAGGAAGACGATGAGCTCAGGACGACTGGCGACGAAGAGGAGGAGGAGGAGCCTGCTGTTGGGACTGGATGGGACGGGCGAGGGAGGAGGTATGTCCTGTGGATGGCCTGAGTAGTGGAATTGCTCCCGGCCCCTACCTTCTCTAGTCTTCTCCTTCATATGTCATGAGATAGTGCGATTCTTTTCGCAATTTTTTTATGCGTCTAGGCTACGGGCGAAGGCTGGAGGAAGAGCAGGGGAAATTGGTGCCCTGGCAATTTTTGGAAATGCGTCATATTTCGTCCATGTAGGCTTCGAAGTGCGCTTTGTGCGTGTAGTAGCGAGTTTTTGGGCCGGTCCGGAGCTACAGAAAACCAGTCGGTGACAACAGTCGTCAACAGAGAGGGGGGGGGGCAACGGCGCAGCCCTGAGAATGATGTTCCGTGGGGCCTCGCACGTGCGTAGGGAACCGTGCCACGTGCCAGCAACTAACCGGGGTGTTTTTAGTGCTTAACACAACACATCCTGGTTTCTGAATTCAAGAACGATGAACTCATGATCGATCAACGCTACGGTCATTTGTGTGTTGAATAAAATTTACAACCTATCATTCTTGTCGTCGTTGCAATCTTGATAGATCTATCTGTACTATCTGTACATGTATTTACAATTTTACATCTGCTCCATTCGTCCTAAAATAAATATATATATCTTGATTCTCGATGAGTTAAACTTTTGTAACTAGATTTGCATTTATTTTAAGATAGATAAAATAATGTAAAATTAAATTGTACCTGATCGCACTTGTAGCGGATACATTCATCCATTTTTGAACCCTTATTTGTGAATCACTAATAATATCATTATAGCCCGCTGTTTTTTAAAAGACAGCAGCAAGTGGATCGTGTTTCTAACTGACAAAATATGGAGCCAGAGTCGTTTTTGCATATAGAGTTACCAAGCCACCAAAACTAGCTTCACTTGAAGAGCTCTGGCTTTAGCCACGGGTAGAGCGCGCGAAGGAGCGATACCAAACACATTCTAAGTTCATCGCCAAGCAATTGAGAGGGAGGAAGAATAATTTTCATGGCGCAATAGCTAGTGAATCCCTAGAGACACTAGCTGATGTTTGAATATTGTGTTACCGGTTTCAAAATCAAAGGCTATACGGCCAAGACATGATCAAAATTCGACGCTAACTTGAGAACAGCGCGAAGAGTTTTGATTGATCCAACATCCGAAGTACGTAGAGATCCAGGGAGCACTCAGTTCTGAGCTGGTCCATTAATTTTGGTCCCAGCAGCTTCGCAATGTTGTCAGTGAACTTCATTTTTTTTTTTTTTTTGCTCAATCATGAAGGCATTTCTTGATGTGTCCGGCTATCGGAGTGACACAATAAAGAGCTAGCTAGGGTGGCTTCCATGTTACGTACAGACGCCACGTACACTGCCTACCATCGGGGTTTTTTTTTTTTTTTTGACAACAACTGCCTACCATCGGTTGGTCGGAGAAGGTGCAAATGCCTAGCAGTCTAGGGGGTTGCTGGGTCGGGCATGAGAGCAGTGGAACCGGAGGACATGTCAGGTGAGTGGTGTTGTGGCAGTGCAGGATAGATGCAGGGGCATAGCACGGCGAGCATGTGAACGACCGAGGTCGAAGGAAGGGTGCAACAGATGCCACAGTGAGACGGTCTCCAACAAAAAAAAACCATATAAACATCTAAATCCAAAATAGATAGGAAGAGACTCAAAATCAGCCTCCAACAGAGTATCTATATGAGAAAACTATTTTGGGTTGCCTGAGAGACACAACCCAAATATGAACATCATCTCTCTGAAAACTCATTTGTAGAAATGATTATCTTTTAGGTCTTGTTATCGGAGAAGATGTCGAATAGGTATTAAATCTTTTACCTGTAGCACTATCAAAAAAAATGAATGAGTCTTGTGTTTTGGAGGTTGTTGTTTGAGATAGCCTGAGGAGCTTGGAGTGTGTTGTGGAGGTCAGTCAACATTGCGAGTTTCTCTCTCCAGTTTTTTCTTCAAATCTAAGGCAATATACTCCTAATAATACTATAATTCAATCAGATTCTTTACAGCTTTGTTTCACCATTAAGAAATGAACTACGGCGAAGTACGATACGGAGTACGGATCCTGTACACATGCCTTTGCATAGCCGTGTTCACATCCCAACCATCAGCACCTACCTGGTCGTTCCGTTTCCCGGTTCCGCTGCGCGCTGACCCGTGCTTCATCAGCGTGAAAAAGGCCTCACGAAAACCCGCGGCTACTGGTGCGGCGGTGCAGGGGCGCCGGTGCCGGGTGGTGTGTGTGGAAGGCGCAGGCAGTGGAACGGAGGGCCCGCGGCGGCAGGCGGCAGCTCCCAAGCCAAGCCAACCCCAACCATCTGCGGACAGCGGACGACGCCACCACGCGGGTGGCCGCGCGGAGGCGGAGGCGGAGGGAGAACGCATCGCACTCACCCAGGAACCAGGGGAAGAAGGGCCATCGGCGCGGGCGCGCGGGTCCCCCCGCCCCGACAAGCGCAAAAGTGGCCGCGCACGCCTGCGCGCTGCGTGGCCGGCTGGCCGCCCACCCCCGGCCGCCCGGGCCCCGCCCGCTAGTGCGCGCGCGCGCGGGTGGGGACGTGGGGTCGGTCGGGTCGGGTGCGGTGGGACTGACCGGCAACTGCTCCTCCTCCGTCCGGCGGTCCGGCCTCCACCACCCTGCTGCTGCTCTCCGCGCCCGCGCGCGCGCGAGGGGAGAAGCCCTGGGCCCTGGAGCCTGGCCGCGGCCGCCGAACGAACGAACGCGCGATGGGTGGGGTGGTGGCCTGGTGGGGCGCATGATGGGCACGTACTACACCACTAGTGTCGGGCCGGCTGCCAACGGCGATCCATCGATATTCCTTTGCCGTGTCCCCATTCACCTACAACTGCATCTCAGCATCTGCATCATCCATCCGCCTGAGCGCCCCCGCCGCACCTTTGCTTTGCTGTTCCAGGCTTCCGGCGTCCGTTAATCTACTATCTATCTGACCGGCCGCGCTTGCTTCAAAAAGCACGGCCTTGTGCTCTTTTATTACACTCCTCGGGGCCTCAGCGTGTGGGGAAACTGGAAAAGGAAGGGTCCGGAAGACGACGATATGACACGCCAGGACGCCGCTGGGTAAAGACACGAAAATAAACCTAGCTTTGCTATGGATCATCACCTCAGTTCAGTTCAGTTGTGCGCCCCTTTCGTCTCTCTCACTTTTCGCTGTCTTTTCTGGGAGCTCCATCACGATTCCTTCCGTCCGCTTTGTCAGCCAGCCACGCCGCGCCGCGCCGCACGTCGTCGATCGTCGCAGAAGGCGCCGACCGGAACGAACGCAGCGCAACGCGAGCAGTACGTCGTCGTAATAGTCAGCCGAGCCTGCGCTTCCGGACAAGTACCACGGTGATCGATCGAGTCGCGCTCATTAGCCTACCAGTACTATCTTGTTATCAAAAAAAAAACTGCTTTTGTCAAAAGCTAGAAGGCGAGCAAAAACCGCGCGCTTTTGGAAAATTAACGATGGCAGGTTATCCTCGCTCGCTTTGAGACGGATTCGCCTCATCGCCTGCACTGCATGCGCTCAGTGCCACTGCCGCATGGAGTGAGGATGCATGCGTGAGTTTACGCCCCATTCGTTTGGGTTTGTTTGGCTGATAAGCCATGACTGAAAGTATTGTCGATTAATTTGGTGTGAGAGAAAAATATTATTCGTTCACTGAAAGTACGGTTTATAAGCCAAACAAACAGGACGTTAGTCGCAAAGGCGGTGACTGGTTTGAAGGGAATAAAGCTGCCGCCGATTACGCGCTTGCTTTGGTGACTTGACCCTCCCCCCTCTGTTAGAGGATAAGCTACATTTAGATTTTAACCCGCCGGTTATCGTTCCTTAATCATGACTTGTGCCGTCTAGTTACGCAGGACGTTCTCTTTTTGGAGTAGCTTGATCGAGCCTAGCATATCTGTTAGGTCATCGATTAGTTAATACAGTTACAAGTATAATAAACCTCGCTACTTTTGCTGCGTTGAAAATTCCTGTACGTACGTGGCCCAAATACTGCGGCCGTTCCGTTCCGGTCCCAACAACTCCCAATCCGATCGACCGAAATTAGAATAACTTTGCCTGGTTTGTTTAGCGTTTCTCACTTGGCGGAAGTCGCACCGTAAAGATTGCACATTTGCACGGCGATCTCTGTGGTGCTCGCAAGTCGCTGATGCACTTGCCATCAGGCATCAGCCATCATTGCGTTGTTGCATTTGGATTATGTGGATGGATGGATTGAATGGGTGGTGAAAGCGCACCACGTTCATTCATGCCGTACGTACACCTGACCACCAGTGAGGGAGGCAGTGACCCATGCTCATGCTCTCCTCGCGCGTGGACGCCGTCGAAAGCAAAAAGGCATCGCAGTGTGCTGTGCTCCGCCCGGTCGCGGCAACGAGCCAGCGTTTTCTTCTCACGATATTTTAACATAGATATCGGTATAAGTCAAATTTCAGCCTAAGCGATCAGGGCGAATACGCGAACGCTGCGCGAGCCGCGAGAGAATTGATGGCGTACGTACTACTGTACTGCTCCGGAGGGAGCAGCCGGCAGTGCCGCCCCTTGTTCGATGGAGTAGTATACTAGTACTGTACGAGCTGGCCGCCGCCCGCCGGTGTGCCACTAATTAATGACCGCCGGACTGCCGGAGGGAGCGGCAGCCGGCAGTGCTCCCCGACACCGCTGCGAGGCTGCTGCAACCGCAAGAAAGCCATGGCAGCAGGACAGGAGGGAATGGATCATGCATGCATGGCGCGGTGGCGCCGCGCAAAGCTCCGGCAGGGCATGCACTGAATTCCACTATGCCGGGGCAGAGGGGATCGGACCATCGTCGTCGGGGAGCCGAATGAAGCGCTGACATCTTTACGAATTGAATGA